AGTCGCTTGCAACTCCACATCCCGCTGACGGGTGCGAGGCTCCGACGAAAGAGCGCCTTTCAGCCGCTGAGATGCTAGATGGTGTTTGTTTTGAAATGAGGACGCGCTGAGGATGGTGGGGCGGCGGGAAATCGGCCGATGGCGCCTCAGGCAGCAAGCCGCCTGTGGCCGCTAACCTAGACAACAGGCATGAAACCAGCCGCCGTACAACCCGATCCAGCAGCATCTTTGTACATTAGAATCAGCAGCCTAGCACGTCCTTTGCCCCAATAGGGGCTTTCAGCTATTACTGTAGCTCCCGGACGTTAAATAATTATCTTATCTTATCTTATCTTATCCTAAATTTTGGCAGCCAAATTAAGACCCCGCTGCGGTGAATCAAAAACTGCTCCAGTACTTCGAGCGCTGGAGGCTGGAACGGAGTGCCAGGACGAGTGTGGTAATATGGTAGACTCAAGCATCCTGAAAGCAATCGGTCCTGCGTTGTATTTCAGTCGTTCCAGCGCTGTGACAACCAGACGTCAAAGGGCATTGACCGATCATCACAATGCATGCCAGAGCACCCTTCCGCTTCTCTTCCCTTGTCATCAATCCTTCCTGACTCAAGCTTCTTCCACCGCAACTTCGTGACAAGGAACTCGCGGGAGACAGTAGGACAACTGGTACGACTGCTCGGCCTGCACCCGTGATGGACGCATCGGAGAGAAAGGGTAAGAATTATGTACAGCTATGCGAGTCGTCTCGTGGTCTCCGGTCGAGAGCAAGCTGTCGCGAACAGAGCATCAGGTGAACACGTTAACAATGATACCTGCGGCCATCCAGGGCTGACCAGCCATTGCTGTAGGAGCCTCAATGTCGAAGGCCGCCTCAGCTCAGAGCATGCACGATCCCATTCACACGGGCAAGGATCTTAACTGTTGGCACAGCCTGAACGCGAACATCAACGCACAATCCGGGAAAGGTACAAGCGTCTTAGTGGCTTCGGTCGACCATGGGTGTGCTGTCCGCTTCCACTCACGTATCATGAAGCTCTTCACCGCCGACCGCAAAGGTTGGTTGCGGCGAAACCGAGCTCTCCTCGAATCGGATCGGCGCGCCCGACCCAAGCGATACCAGGTCATGGCTAAGTCCAATATGGCAGACTGTAAGAAGCAAGGGGTGGTGGTTCATGAAAACCGAGTGCGAGAAGACGCTGGACAAGTTCAGGCACCTACCGGGTTCGCTATATGTTCATGCGACCGTGGCTCCAAGGCAGAGCCATGCCAGGTTGTCCAAGCTAGTCGCGACGACAAAGACTTCACGGCTCTGCCCGACTACAGCCCATCACTCAACACGCTCTCCCGTCGGACCAACTGCCTGAAGGTGGACTGGGATGGTCGGCCACTTGACCTAGGAGACGACCCATATGCTTACCTACTGCATCCGGAAGAAGTCACGCTGGCCTCTACCCTTCGCCTCGATTGTGCGACATATCTCACGAGCAAGCGCCACATCTTTCAGCGGAGGCTGGTATGCCTGCGTATTGGCAAAGAGTTTCGTAAGACGGACGCGCAGAAGGCCTGCAAAATTGATGTCAACAAGGCTTCGAAGATGTGGACAGCATTCAAGGCGGTGGGTTGGTTAGACGAGTCATTCATGCGCCAATTCCTGTGAACAGGTTGGCTCTCTCAAATTGTTTCGGCTCTGTTCGGTGCGAGACATGCTGGGATCCCCAGTGGCATTGTATTTTCTACTGCCGACCACCATTGCCTCCAGGCGTTGGCCCCATCTCATGGCTCACACAGAGTAACAGCTTGAACGATTACTGAGCGTTGCCGCAGACAAAAGGACAGCATACATTGTCAGACGACGAAGGGGCACAGATAATCGTCCATCAGGTAGGCGACAGTGGACGAGTTTTGGTCTTGTGGTCTGTAATTCCGTTGCACAGGCGTGTCGGGCGTCGGGTGCGTCTTTCGTGCGGGAGAGGTTCAGGCCATTCTGGAGGCCGTTCATCGTTGTGGGCCGTTGCAACTTTAAGAAGCTGGCATGCGAGGCCGGTAGCCTTATCGATAGCTGTTGAGTTTGATGTTGGGCGTTTAGGTTCAGTCGTGGTGCTGCGCTGATGTGCTGCTCACTGTCTCGAAACGCAACCTGGTCATAAACTTGCCCTCAGGGTTTCGCGCTCGAAGCCCACTCTATGGCCAACCTACCTGACTAGCGTCTACACGGAGGTCAAAACAGAACCGAAGGCTGCATTTCGATTCGTGCAGTTCGTTGTGGCCATGAGCAGGCGACTTTCGGTCGATTTGCAGCTGTTGCTTTCAAAATTGCGTGTGATGACGTTTGGGACCAACTGGCAACTATTATGCTCACATTGTACACGAAGTGGGACGGCTATATGTTAACTCGGTCCGTTTCTACAGACGGCGAGACCCCTCTCCCAGGCTGGGCATAAAATTAGCGCCAGAAGAGTAGGAACCCAAATCAGTTCCGTCAGCTCAGCTTATACATTAAGGCCTGGAAGCTACTCGGATGCGGCAGAAGGGTTGCACCACCTCTGACTGCACATTCGAGGCGATCCTCGGGCGATTACGAGCGGCTCTCTGGCCGCGTTCAATATGCAACCGGCAGAGCTTGGACACACCATGGGTGCTCCTCTCAGACAGCATGAAAGACACAGAAAGCAGGTCCTGGACAAAACAGCGCAACAAGCGCGAGTTACTGACGAAATTCCGCTGGAAGATAAGCCTTGTTGCTCCAAGGCGGCTTTCGAGCACCCACGGCTTCGGAAATGCCCCTACGACTTGTCCACAGTCGACTGGGAGAAAGCTATCCTGCTAGGAGGTGGATTAGATGGGTATGTTTGGACGGTGTACTTTGGGACGAACGGCCCTTTCGCACTTAAGGTGGTAAGTTTACTATGCTATCTTGGTTCTCGCGAGACGCTTGCTCTTCTTATGGGCCCTTTCAGTTCCATGACACCGAACCGCCCGTTTTCATGCACTATTATGCTTTCCAGCGAGAGTGCCAAATGCCGCTATTGTACAGTTGCTTATTACTGCAGTGCAGCAAGCGACTGCCACCGGACCGATAATCATCAAGAATAATCCGAGCTCCAATCGCGACGCCCAAGCCAATCTCCTTGCCTTTTTCGATAAGCAACGACAAATACGACAAAGTCAGCAGACCACTTTGAATGAAAGGGACACGATCATCTCGACAGCTCCGCCAATGACCCAATGTTATGGGTCGCTGAAGTTTGATGGCCAAGCCTTCCGCAAAATGCCTCATCCAGTACGACCGCCAACACAAAGGTATACAAGCTTATATGCGGGTTTCAACCGACACGAGCTACTTTGGAATAGTTTACGAATACGTCGTCGGGGCTCAAATAATCAGGAGCTGGTGGAGGAAGTGGATTTGGTTTTCTATCGTGCAGGTTTCGGTTACACGCTGTCGCCAGACCGGAGAAATTGGCGTGGAAGCAGGCTCGTAGATCATAGCGAATATGTACATCCACAAGGGTTCGGTACGGACCGAGGCGCGCAACACAGATTCTGGTGTGACTTTTGACTGGCGTTTTTGATCTATCAGTACCATCTTCTGCACGGGATTTGAAAAGCCCATTGAATCAACCGCTCTCCAAGCTTGTGAACGACATAATGTATGTAATTGCAGTCCATTGACCTTAACAAGGCTCGAACATGCTCGTAACATCTGAGTACCACCCCAAACGCACCAACAGTGTATGTACCGTACATGGTACGGTATTGGAAAGCTCTTCGCGAAGTACACATGCTTGCGGCCTTGTTTCTCGTATCCGCCATCCACCTTTGTCCAGTCCCTCTCAACTGTGTCGATCTTGTTTCCATGGCTGTCTCTATAGTACAGTGTGTTTCTGAAAGTGTTCTTTTCAATCGTGACTCGTACAGTATGCGCTTGGCTTCGCCTCCCATTTTGAGGCGTTTAGCTTCAAAGTCGGGAGCATCAGGGTCTTCTTGTAAACCGGGATCTACCTGTCGTGTAGTATCGGTTTCAGGCGGACCGCGTGTTTCTGAGGAATGCCCCGCCGATAGGACTCGAGTCGGGATTAATATGACTGGATGTCGTCCTCGTGGACAGCAGGTAGCATTGGTAGTTCACGCTGCATGGGCGAACCCAGGGCGTTCCCGGCGCTCCGTTCAATCGTGGCATTCTCGCGAGTAGGCCCTTGTGGATTGGGCTCTTGATGGGCATCGTCTCCGCTCAACTTCCGCTTCGCCTTGCCAGATGTATTGTGAACATAGCCTGCTCGCTCATCGCGGCGCCTAGTATCGTGGCCTGGGCACGAGCAGCATTCTGTGACATTTCTGGCGAAAGCTGACCAATGGCAAGCCTCTATGGCACGCATTGTAATCCAGCCAGCGTGTTTGTTATTGGCGGCCGACATCAACGAAATTCATTCAACGCCGGCGCGAGTTGCCAGGAGGACCACGCCACGACCGTTAATGAGACAAGCTTAGATGCTAGCAATACTGCCCATCAGCACACCAGCGTGCGCCAATGGACACGCCCAGAGTCTCTGTAATGGCACTTCTACATTCGCACTTCAGAATTGAGTCTTAAAACGCTTGCATCCAGTGTTTCCCTGCTGTGTGTGGCCTTCTTTGACAGCCGGTATGTGCTGTGCGAACTGCCTGGTCTGCACGTGTGTGGGAGGGAGCTCCATGGCGTCCTGGATGTGACAGTAGAATCTTAGTCGCACCGTCTTGAGATGACACCCCGCGGCTCGTACGAGACTGTGCATAATCCTTTTCTCTAACTTCGAACCGGAACGGAAACGTTCGCCAAGGGCGCTTCGCTTGGCCAGTCTCTTTCGTAAACTTTGAAGCGTGCGGCTCACGGCGCACTAAGTGAACGCCATTGCACGGCCGCCTTTAGGTGGGATATTGTTCGACGGCGGGTGGTCAGCAGATGGACAACAGGTGGACAACGGATGGACAACGGATGGATAACAGATGGTCAACGGATGGACAACAGATGGATAACAGATGGACGACAGATGGACAAAGATGGACAACAGATGGATAACGGGTGGACAACAGATGACATAGCACTGTAGAGCCTTTGCGCAGCCTGCGAGCAGGGTGACGAGAAAATTCATGCATGTGGTTTCGACTGCCATCCACCTGCATGCTTGCCGCTGTTATCCGCGGCGGGTGCACGCGAATCGAGGATAGATATATGCTGTATGTTGACGGTGTATAAGAAGCCTCCCTTTTCCAGCTCATGTCCTTTTCTTTCCCAAGCACAAAAGTCACAAAGTTTCCAGCAAGTCGCACCTCACCCATCAACGCAAAATCAGGTCAGAGATGCACCGGACAATGAGGAATGCGCTTGCTAACTACTGCCATAGCATCAGTTGTCCACTAAAGACTTAGCAATCATGGCCCCAGATCCAACGTGTGTAAGGTGTAACGGATTGGGCAGCTACGCTGTCAGGTGTTCTTCTTGTGGAGGTAGTGGTCAAAGCTGGGACCAATGTCGAAGCTGCCGCGGAGTGGGACATTTTTCGCACGAGGACTGGGAATGCGACTCATGCAAAGGCGAGGGAGGCAGATATATCAACTGTGCAGCTTGTGGGATCACCGGGTTCCAATGGCAGACATGCAATCCATGCATGCCGCGTTGAATCCACCGGCGCTACGTTCACAGGCTCGGCCTATACTCGTTCATTATCGAAAGTCTGAAAGCTATCTCTTCGTCTCACCACAGAGCTGCTTGATCTGCGTCGAACCTTGATAACTCCTTCCCTGCGTCTTCGAGGTTCCTTCTCGCCTTCATCCGCATGTAAAAAATTGGGCAGTCTTTGCTACTACATATCACCTCAGTGTGCATATTGCCTTGACACCTCTGACACTGTGTCCACAGTCGCCCAAATCGCACCTCGAGGTCAGACACCTCATCCAATGTCCTTTGGTAAAGCTCACCAATTCGGGGCGCGCAATCCAGGCAAACTGCCCCCGAGGCTTCTCTTTGATCTGTCATCGGTTTCTTGCAGCCCATGCACGTCTGCGTTTTCTTAGCAAACTTCATCAGGCCGCCAATCGTCGGAGCCGCAACTGAGATGACTCGAGTGTGGTCTCCAGCAAGAAGTGACTTGGCCTTCGAATCGCCAAGAATTGGCTCAAAGATGCGCCCCAGAGGCTTCGCCAGCTGGTTGTCTAGGTAGTATCTGGTGTCGATCGGTATGTTGTTTTCCAGGACGTACATTGGGTCTTCCGACTTCTCGAAGTTTCGCGCTCCAGTCGCTCCCCTGACCATGACATAGGCGACTCGGTCTCCCAATGCAGGAGCTGAGCCCGCATCACGCTTTTTCATGCGATGCGCCAGCTCGACGTGAGCTTGCTTCGCGGCGTAATCATCTTTTGTCAGTGCCTTGGTGATGACAAGCTTCGACATGTCGACTTTGTTCTGCAATAGCTTTGCAATGGTGCTTTTGACATAGCTAAGACTCTGTTAGCTGGGGCAGTAGATGACAAGGTACGGACTTACTCTTGCGCACTTTGGACATCTTGTTCAATCAAGATCATCTTCAGAACCTTCTCGATCACAGTTTGAACAAGAAGGCAGTTATCCCGCCGCACAGTCTCAATGCCTTTGGTGTCCATTTTGTCATACTTCTCCGGTGTTGTGTAATAAAGCCCTGCATAGCGCTTCTTGTTGATGAGAAGGTATGGGAAGTATACCTTTTCAAATTCCAGCCTGATCGGCTGGACAAAATGAGAGGATACGTACTGTGACGCTTCCTGGCCCAGCTTCATAGCCTCCGTCAAGTCCCTGGTACCAAATTTGACCATGACAGAATCTGTGTCACCATAGATGACCTGTGCATCGTGGCTGTAACCATTCGCAATGGTATACTTCTTTTCCACTTCTTCCTTTGTCTTCTCAATCATTTGTCGTCCGAAGCTTGTCGTGCTGCTCGCGATTTCGAGACATGGCAGCTTTCCAGTCGTTGCGCCGGTCAATCCATATACGCTGTTGGCGCTTATTTTCAGGGCCAGTTGGCGACCATTCAGAACTGCTTTCTTGAATGGATCCTTCTCCACAGCTAGTTCACGTTTGGCTTGCTTCCGCGCCATGAGGAGTTCTTCAAGAATCTGCGACAAGAGCCCTTTCCTTTGTCTTGTCGTCACAAACGTGTCGCCGTTGGGTGTGACGATGAAATCTTCGTCTCGTTTCAAACCCAGCCTCGTGATGGTTGGTTTATCGATCAATGTAGTGTAGCAGAGATTGTGGGCTTGGATGATGCTGGGATACAAGGAGGCGAAGTCCAGTGTTGCAATTGGCACATCGTAGTAGCCTCGTATCGGCTCGATGACGGTTGCTCCTTCGTATTGCTCATCTGAGCCATTTGCCTTCATATTAGGAATGACGAGCTTCTGTTCAAAAGCCTTCCGGTAAAGCTGGCTGATGAACTTGATTTGCTGGCCACGGGACAAGAGGAAGTTGAATGGAACACCTGTGACCCTAGCCATTTCGGTGTAGTTCTCAAGACAGGACAGCTTGTCCATGAGACGTTGTGGAAGATACGCATCCTTCAAACAGTACAACGCGAGGCGCCGGCGGGATTCGGGAGTACCGTTGAACAGCTCGGTGATCATCGTGTGGTGGACATCCTCCTTCTGTTCGCCCAGGAAATTTGCGCAGACGGAGTTCAACGAATAGCTGCGAAGGTGGTGGTCGCGTTGAATGAGTTGAAACAGGTCGAGCTGCAGTCGCCCGTTAATGTTGGTGGTTTTGGTATCACGGTTTCCCATCTGCTTGCTCGAGAAGCTTGTCTCTTTAGACTTTGATGGGACATTCAGATTGCGCGACCAGTATTCAAACCCCGACACTTTGAGGTGTTTGGCTCGATCAAGCAGATAAGGAAAGTCGAAATTGGCAATGTTGTAGCCGGTGATGACATCAGGGTCCGCCCGAACAAGGAAGTTCTGCCACGCCGAAAGCATCGCTTCCTCCCGGTCGAATTCTAGAACCTGCGTCGCTACAATAGCATGAGTCGTATCCAAGCAGAAAACGTTTCGAATGAACGGCTGTTTCTCCCCATATGTCGTCACGATGTTCGCGATTTGTATTACCGGGTCGCAGTTGGCTTCAGGAAATATGCCTTTACGAGCAGCGCACTCGATGTCGAAGGACAAGATACGTAGTGGGGCCATCTTAGCCCATTCATTGACTGGGTCGTGCGCGATGAGATGGAGATAACTGACTTGTGCTTCAATCTGGCACCTTGACTGGCGGTCATGACTCGGTATCATCTTGTACGACTTCGCCGGAGCTTCCACCCATGACATACCCGGAATCTGCGGTCTGTAAGTGTCCGTCTGTGGCTGAGGTACGGGGAACTTTCCTTGCAGTCGACCATGAATCGCAGTAGGTATTGGATGTTGTCGTATGTTTGGATGCTACCATCCACACCTTTCCATTTGCCCTTCCAGTTCGCGCGGCCACTTTCAATCGTGGAACGAACGACATTGATGAATTTGGGATCAGTGACTGTGATCCTCAAGTAAGGGCATTGCTGGTTGCCCGCGAAACCGTAGATGTTCTCCCGCGTAACCAAAGCCACCGAATGTATCGCCGGCTTGTGCTGAGCAATTTGAGTTTCGAGGTATACGCAGAACGATGCACAATCCTGGGGCTGAAACGTTGGTGGGGAGGCCACATAAAGGTAGTGCCTGAAGTCCGTGACGTGGAGTAGTACAGAGTTGCCTCGCTCGTTGACTCCGAACAATTTGACAGTAGGGAGACCGCCATGAAGCGTTCCTTCCTCGGCTTCAATAGCTTGGAAACAAAGGCTATCACACTCTGGTACAAGTGCTCGAACAGGTGGCCGATCCCACGATTGTCCCTTCTCATTGCAGTTTCGTTTCAGTTTCAGAATGTCGTGGCCGAATTTCTCGAGTATATCGGATTCGAACCCGCTTTTGGTCTGCGTCGAATACAGGCCGGGTCGAGAATCGTCTCGCGATCGGGCGAGCGCAGGGGCAACCGCAATCTTGCGCTTTTTGGAGGGAGTTTCCTCGCAGAGGGAGTTCGCATTACTGCGCGGCTCAGTGAGCACCAGGTTTCGGGGACGACGGGTGGTATCGAGGTCCATGTTGGGACTCAGCACATTGTGATTTCACGCTGAGGTGTAGCAAGAGAAGTAACCGAAGGGATTTCAGTAATAGGTGCGAGAAACACAATTTGACGCGACGCGACGGATGTGGCGCGACTGGCGACGCGACGCGGCGACGTCGATTTTTTATGGAGAAACAGAAAATAGAGACGCGGCAGCACGTGATGTGGTAGTTGACATTGATCGACGTGGCTGAGGAAATGATGGCCGATAAAACCCGACCCATGGGCAGGGGAACCTCTTCCAAATCCTAGCCACCAATGTACAGGGGGGCCCCTTCACCCTTCCTATCCGATAAATATCCGGTCATGGAAGAAATGATGACGTAATAGTGCCTTTGCCCAAAGGTCAGGATTGCAGCCCGAGCTCGCAAGTCAGCACATGCAATCTCGTTCCTCATCGTCTGCGGAGTCAGGATTCATCCGTGACTCGTGTCTGCAGGATAGTACAACTGCAGACTTACTGCACAGTACGTCGATCTCACTTTCAACAGCCCGGCCTGAGGTGCCGCAATTCCGTAAGCACAACCGCCAAAGACTTCCCTTTTGAAATGCGCCCGTCACCCGACAGCTTTGCAGCTGGGGCAAGCGGAATTTGCTCTTTCTGGTCTCAAATCTCGCACCTTGCTGGCCTTCCCGGCGATCCAATCATTCCACGAGGAGCATCATTTTCGCGCATTACGACCAACACAGGAACGCTATGCTGACACTGCAGTAGCCGCGATAGGGCGACAAGTCACGCATCCGTCTCAAAGCCACTTCATCACATCGATATGGATGGCGCAGACGTGACAGGGTGGACGGACGAACAGATATTAGCCGAGGCTGCAACTTGGGTATGGTTCGAGCATGCCTGCCATGAATTTCCCGAAGCTGACAGGCTAGAAGTTCTCCGAAGAGCCCGGTAACCTGGTCATTTGCGAGGAAGAGACAGATGAATTGGCGATCATTATCTACGTCACCGTGGACTTATATGGCCGGCAGGTCCACGAAAATGGTACTGTATTGTTTGCAGACCCTTCTAATCCCGGCGTTGTCACTGGTGAATTCGCCGACAGGCTCGGCGTTTGGCTGTTTCGAGTGCCAAAGGATGGTGTTTTTGTAGACAATGCTCGCGTTAGATATATCAAGAAGACGCGGAAGACGTAGCAGAACCACAGATGTTAGGAGACGACCGAAGCATCTGATATAACGAAGAAAGCCTTATAACATGGGACTTCTGACTCTTCAGGTACTTGAAGAACGGAACACAGTCGGAAGGGGAGTCCCAGATAATGCTTAGCCCGTCCCGTATTTCTGCCACGTTGCCTCTTGTGGGCCAATATACGGAGGTAATGAATTGATCGCTGATAAACAAACTTGATACTCGCTGGTGCGGCACCAAGAATCCGCTGTGTCCTATAGCATTGTCAGGCCAGCTTTGTTACTCATGTGACTGCCGACTTACCGGCTGAAGCACTTTGAATACCCCTCGCAACCGCCTGCGAAATTTGAACGCGGAACTTCGCTGCTTCTGGGCCAATGTGGGCCGAGAGATAGGAAGCTTGCCCTTGATGGACAAGCCGAGTAAATTGTAGGTCCTTTCCAATGTCTTGGATCAAGGAAGCGAGTAGTTGAGGAGGGTATGATGCCCTGTAGCTCCTAGACAAAAATTGCTCGAGCGCTTTAGAAGCAATTTTTTTGTGTGTTGTACTAGAGTTGGCGTTGACGGCCGCCGATTGTTGATGAATCACTTCAGCGCCTTCAGAAAACCGGCAGACGGTTTCCATAGCATGGCCTTGCTGGGTCATATGGTTATTTTGGTCACCCTCCCCGCGTTCTAGAGCGGCGAAGTCGTCTGTCATTGTACTCGGCGCATTGTTCACTCTCATGCCCTCTGGGAGACCATCTCGAGAGTCTCGCCCCGTCGCAGATGAGCTGACCATCGGACTGCCCCTATCTACCAAGCTGCTGTTGTTGTCTTCAGCGACTGCCGATCTACCGCTAATGCCCTGCCTTGAAGCGGCCGCCATGGCATTCCGGTCTGCCTGGGTTTGTTTGTTGACGGTTGATGACGGTGATGGTAAGCCTAATTATTGTCAATCGTGCTCTCGACACCCGAGGTGAGAGACGCACAAGAAGTGTCTGATGGCAAATTGTATTGTGAACAGAAAACAAGAACACTGGAATTGCACAAGAGTGCGCTGCCTTTGCTTTCTCTGAGACAACGGAAAAGGTCATCGCGGCGATGCGAGCTCATGTTATAGAGATTAGCCTGGCCAAGAGCGATAGCACAAAGCAGGACCGGAGCAGGTCCACAGCCGGCAAGCAAGTCATTTAGGAAGGCTTGATACGTGCGACGTTTCCGCGTATGTTGAGTATTGGTCAGAATATCGACAGCATCTTCAACTCGGGATTTTGCGGTGCATTCCAGATTCTGTTTGCCGTCAAGCTTTTGCGCAACGTTTGCGATCCGTCGCCAGGCTTCTTCCGGACTGAGTGGCCTTCGTGACTTATGTGGGGTTCCTTTTGACATAGCGACGAGGTTAAAGCGACGGTAACTGGGAGACGATAAAGGAGATAGGGCCTTTGGAAGGTGGCGGACAACGCTCGCAGTGGCGAACAAGGACCGCAGACGGATAGGCGAGTGGACAGTTTATGGACAAACGGGTCGATAAAAGATGGACAATGGATGGAAAGCGCATGGACAACGGGTGGACAATGCATGGACAATGGGTGGAGAGCAGGGGGACAAGTAGCGGGAGGGCTGACACCGCACAAGCCAATGCAGGGACTACAACATCCATCAGCTGGCCTTGGTCAGGACAGACGCCACATTTAGCATGCGCCAGGCCGGAGATGGGAGGCGACAATGATTGGTTCGGGGACGCGTTGTCCACCTAAGGCGTTGGACGCGAAAGTAGCTGACGAACCATTAGCCGCCCAGCCCGCATAGACAGGGTGACACTCTACTTGAGCCGCACCGCTTTCGGCTAAGCGGAGGTGGTACTTACACCGAATGTTGAGCCGACCGTGCGGGGAAATAGTAGCAGGACGTACTGTAATGGAGACCAATCCGGACCATCAAGGCCGGCTGCCGGTACTGTACCGCTAATGCAAGAGGCGGCGCGAAGGCCTTGAGATACCGCCAAGGCAAAGAGCATGCTGAGCCCCAGGTGGCGCAGAAGTTTCCAGTCCTACTTCCGAGGGCCGCAGTCCTGGCCGCACACAACATAGTGTCGGCCAGAATGCATTGCCCACAATGACGGGAACAAGGTGGTAACGCACATCCGTGATTACAGGGATTCCGGACGCGGGCCCGCCCACCCAACTAAGGGGTGCCACGAATCATGAGCTAACGGTCAGTCAATCGGCGGATGTGTGTGCTGCAAGACTTCGACCCGTGATGCCATCCGGTACCTTGCTCAGTGCTCGTGGCCTTGCTTTCTTTGTTGGAGTGTGGTGATCGCGTTGGCCGCTCACCCATGCGATGGCTTGCATGCGGAGAGCGTTGTTCGCGACCAACGTCATGTCGGTCAATCGACATGGCCTGGCTTATATGATTGCTGCGCCGCGTGGAGTAACATAAGTCCGTTGTGGCGTTCACAAAACAGTTCCTCGGCCTCGGTTCTCCGTCAATATAAATACGTCGACCTAGGTAGCATGTAGACTTGTTCTGGCCTCGCTATCTATCCAGCATAACTATCAACAGCTAATCTCTGGTTTCAATCTTTGGCTTGGACCATTCCCTCCTCGCACCAGCCCATCATCGGCTGGCTGTTACCAGACACTTAGCCCCAAATAGGAACACGGATACTCTCCAGCCTGCGGCTCGCACCACTGTGAGAAATGGAATCAGACAAGGGTAACGAGCATCTCGGAATGACTCTATCTTTCCCGCTTCTGAGGCAAACGGCCACCAATGGTCGTCCTGGATCGTCTGACAGGTAAGCTCTGGGCGAGTCTCGCGCTGATCCAGGGCGCAACGACGAGATTAAGTATTTGATGTGCCCTTGCTAAGCATGACTTAGGTTTTCTCCTCCGCAGCTTCTGGAATGTGACTGTCGTTCAAGCGCTACGCTAACGTCTGCACGATTCGACGTCGACGATATTGCCCACCTATCGGCACCGCCACCCGACCATGTCCATGTACCGGGCGACGTAGCTACTGGTTCTCACACAATCTTCAACAGCGATCAGTCATTTGAGACGCAAACCAGCATAGGCGACAGATTCCCCCAGAGATCTTGGCCTATCACCATTCTTTCCGATATTCCAGCGAGTGAAATCAGCACAGGCTACCTCGCAAGCCTTTTTGCGCATAACTCAGCCAGTCCAACGACTACCAATACGTCAACTTCACACAACCAAAGACAACAGCCGGCTGACGCACGGGCCAACCGCAACGCGATCGGGCCTGTCCGTGATTTGGCCAGGTCAGCATCCATTGATACGTCATTCTCGGGCGACGAAGTACAATTGCCGGCCGAAGTAGCCGTTAACGGATATGACCTTCGGACGGCCGTCCCAGAAGCTGAACATGAGTTCAATGAACTGCTTGCCAGAATTCAAGGCTCTGGATCGCTCTTGGCTGCACACGCTCCCAATGCTACCATGTTGGAGGAATTGCCGTTTGCACTTCCCGTTCACGGCCGTCAACCTCCCCTAGGTCCTCCACATGATGCCCAAGACATGGCCGCGGCAGCCCGCTTGGTGCAGCTAAGTGCAGCGGAGGTGCCCGACAGAGAAGCCCACCCCTTAGAGCACCAAAGCCACGAAGAAATCGAAGTCTATGCCGGAGAAGATCTGGAAGGCTCAAACGAGCTCTGGCAAGTTGCCTTTTTCGACGACTTTGGGCAGAATGATGACCATGGTAACTTTTGGGATCAGATACTAGCGGACGGGGATGCTCAGCCCAGCCTGGATCAGCTGCCCACATCTGGCGACGCATTCCCGTCGTCCGACCGGGAGCAATGGCCGTTTGCAGTTGACGACGAACTCCTTGCGGTCGCGCCGAACGACTACCCTGGCTTGAGAGTAGAACAGCGCCACCTGGAGCCTCGTCAAAGTATGGAATGGGAAGTAGATTCCCTTGTTTTAATGGGTGCGATTGATGTCGTCGAGTTGGAGGAGCTGCGGTCTGCGCTCTTGTCGCACAGAAGGCAGCCACAAGCCGTGTAATTATCGTTCAGCGGGTCAGCCCAGTGTAGCTGCGGCTGCCTGCTAGGCAGCCGCCACTGCCTAAGCCAGCAGTGTTCCTTTTGTGTCCTGTTCAAGAGCTGCACCAGCCCGTCCAGCTTCAACGGAGCTTTTTCGCTCCTCAAGAATGAACCCAGTGCGTAACGCAGCTTCGAGTTGCTGTCTGGAGACAGGCAAAATGGATGAGAACACGCGCGCGGGGCGGTGAGGTGGCCCTAGGGCCAGTCGAACGGGGAAGATGCGGAACGCTGGATGAGCGCACTCGGGCACGGAGAGCTCTGACCCGAGTCCGCAAGCAAAGGTGCATCGCCCCAACGGATAACGTGCACGCTGTCGCCATATTACAGTAACTGTACAGGAATGCAATACTGTATTTTGTTTCAGCCACATACTGAATCTGTTCGTTGTTACAGGGCAGTCGGTAGCTGCTTCGCTGTAATGGCTAGTGTGGAGCACGTGCAGTACAGGACAGTACACGAGTTCGACGTGGCGTGTCGCGTTAAGTCACCAGTGGCACGGTCTTTTTGGATCGCCGCGACAGACCCTCTTCTCGCGTGGCGGCCAACGCCGCTCGACCAAGCCATCCTGCTGTCCACTCTTCCGTCCACTTGACAAAAACTTTCCCCCCACAACAAAGGCAGGGCAACGCTATGCCAAAGCAAACTCGCTCGAACGTCATCAAGAATTATTCCTTTGGAAATGGCCTTGATGCCTTTCGTGCGTCGTTCTATCACATATGTGACAACAGTCTTCTACCGAGCCCAAACGCCATCGAGCGATCTCCTCAAGGTAACCTCACCACGCCAGTCATTGACGCAAGGCTCCTCTGACCACGTAGTAGATTTCCATATATAGCCCCTTCCTCCGAAATCGTGCTGCGGTGCACGCGAGGAGTATGCTCACATCCCGTCCACCTGGCCCAGTAATTCAATGTCCGAAACATTAGGTGAGCGACCCCAAGGGGAGTGTTCTCGCCAGGCGACGCAGATAGCGGCATCGCTCCTCCGCATCCGGACTGAGCAGCTCGTGCACAAAGGATTCGATGTCGCCACCACCGAGTTCTTTCCGCCGATCTTAGATATTTGCGAGCCAATCTCGCATCAGCTGGGCCTGGCTATCGTCATGTAGGACCTGGTCGACCCTCCACACCCGCTGTGTCTTCTCAGGTAACGGTATCACTCGCATCACGAAGAGAAGGGTCACACCAAGAGCCCAGCAACCTCTTGCCGGGCCCTGGTCGTTCGGGGCGTCGAACGGCATGTACCACGGTGTCCCTCCCGGGCAATCTGCCGCCTCCACCACCGACGCGTGCCCGAAGTCTATGAGCTTCGCATCCACGAGTTTTGTCCCTCGAGGGAGATGAGCAACTATGTTCGCAGGCTTGATGTCGTTGTGCACAATTCGAGCTTGCTTGTGGAGAAACGCCACTGCTGATGTCATCTGACAGGATATTCGGAGAATCGTTCTGTTTGCGTCGCCTTCACTGCCGCAGGTAAAGAAGTGGCCCGTGTCTACCCATTGCGAGAGATCTTTGCCTGGAAGAACCTTGAGGTAGAGTGCGTACAAGCGCGCGTCCGCTCCCAGCAGCTCCACGATGCACGGCTGGGCGCTAGTCAGATCGCACTTCAGGTCAGGGCCTAGTGCTTTGGTGCACGCGTACATGGTGTAGACGCTCAAGAAAGCGCTTCTCGTCTGCCCAGTGGCGGGCTATTGAAGGAACAAAGCGGGAGTGGCTCTTATGTTCACGGCGTACCGGCCCAGTTTAGAGTGATGGCCGATGACGACGCAAGCTGTCTGCTTCACTGCTGCAGTGCGCACATGCTTCAGAGTATATGCCGCGTCGGGATGCCCACTTGTCGAGTCAGATCTGGGCCTAATAGAGAGAGTCTGCCCAAGTGAAAGCTGCTCCACAGGATGTGTGTGGCCGCGCGGAACAGGTGGAACAGAGCGCGCCTTGCAGAGTGCGGTCAGTAATGAGCTCCTATGATGTGCAACGAACCGTGCTAGCGGGACGTAGAGGATGTACGCGTACAAACTTTCGCTTCCTACCTGATCCGACACGCTCCATGATCGTCGTTGCGTACGGTCTTGGGAGCAACCGAAAGTCAAGAAGCACTTCCGGAACAAGGCCTCGCCCTCGCGGACCATATACGCGCCAACAACCTGGGCGGATCCCCTCGCACTGTCGAGGAGGGACGCCGCGTCGCTCGCCGGCGGCCAGGTCGACGACCTCGACGGGCCCTTTGCATTCATGAGAAAGTGTTATGTGATCGGTGGCGGGGTCAAAATAGAAGTAGCATAGCGGTTCGTGATCTTGTCGCAACACAGGGCCGGTGCTTTCGCGTGTTTGCTGCACCGTGAAGATGTCCTTCTCTGTCGGCCACGGACGGAGATCGTCGCAGTCCATCGCCCGCGACGCGTCGCGGAAGCTGATGATTATTCGTGTATCAATCGGAGCTTCGTTAAGTGGTAAATTTTCCAAAGAGTCCCGCACTGATAGGTCTTGCTCCTGCCCCTCTTTCAGCTTTGCCTGAATAGCTTCAATGAAGCCGCTGGAGTGCTCGTTCGTCGTGCTGCCACTGTCGTCCATAGTGTCTTGAGGAGGCGCCATTAGTGTAGAACGAAGTGCTTCCACCTCGTCGCGGCGGCCGAGAGGAGCCGGTCGAAGCCATTTTAATGATACGCAGCGGTTGCCGCGACAGATCGAGGCGGATGCGCGGTTTCGAACAACGCAAATCAGGGGGGTATGGTTCGCTGCCAAGGCAAGGCTCCACGCGCCCAGGGGCAGAGGGCTAGCGACGGGCGCTACGGGAGATCGCGACGCCCCACATACGACAGTGTTTGTTGTGGTAAACTTGCACGGTGCGATCCCAGCCTCTCCCACCCAGCACGAGAGTCGCGTCATCGCCGCCAAACGCTACCTCCGGCGTCTGTCCCGTCCCATCGTCGCCATGTCTTGGGCCCCCCTCTCCAAGCCCGACCGGCAAAACACACTCGAATGGCCTTGGTGGGAGGTTGATTTGGAGGAAGAAGATCTTTGCGGCTTTCTCTACAAGAAGTACAATACAGCCACCATCTTCCTGCAGGACGTGCCCTCCTTCTATCGGGACGTGGTTGAGCTGGTGCGGGAGACGAAAACCGGCAGTAAGGACGAATTTCTGCGCCTTCTCGGCGAGAGAAAAGCGAGACGGGAAAAGGAAATCACCTTAGCCCACGGCCAAACGTGTGCTGCCCTTGCACATGGGGGCCAAACCCTCAGTGCATCACAATATCGAAATCTCTTGCGATGGACCCAGTACTCGAGCCTGGATGCCTTGGTGCAATTCCTGGCGTCCTTTGGGCCTGACAGCGGTGGTAACGAACGACTGTCAACTAGTTCGTGCTTCTTGGCCAACGCAGCGCCTTACTGACGGTTCCTGCAGCAAAGTCGCAGGTGGATGCGGAATCGTCCACGTTGCCAAAGCGACCGCCGAACGAGCCCAACCGATCGAAACGGAAACGTGGTCCAGATACCCCCAACGACGTGCAGATGGATACCGGCGGCTGTGGTGACGTTGTCGAGCCGCGTCAGACAAAATTGCGCAAGTCGAGTACAAGAACGGCTGAGGCTCGGAGCCTGGTTCAACCTAAAGTGATGCCGACCGCGGCTGGCGGCTCATTTGATGGTGCTGCAGTGCGGCCGCGGAGAAATGCACGCATCGAGGGCCGATCAAGGAGACCCCCATCGACTACGCAACAAGACGGAACAACGGCGAGGAATTAGCCAGCGCAAAGAATGGACGTTCGCGACAGCGGGCTCTTTGGCCATGACATTGTCTAGACTCTACTATTCTATTACTATTCGTAGCAACGTCGGGCTGTCTTTGTCGCCACCCAGCGAATATACCATTTCCAACGTGACGGATGATCCTATTCTGGTGCTGATGAAAGTACAAGACTCCTTCACCAATTGATGTGCACCCAGCTCTACCGACTGGTCGCAACAGCGAGGGCTTCGTGGATTTTGAATTCGCCAATGAGTGTGCCTTCGTACATCGCCAGAGGACCACCTCTTTCTTTCCGTTCAGCCTCCAGGCTCCAGTCGTGCAGAAATCTAGGCACAAGCTCATCTCCCTCTTTCTCCTTGACTTCGCTAATAATAATACTGGTGTATAAAAGAATGTGTTCGTTTTTTACATAAAACACCCCCCGGTGCCTTTTCAGTACAGTCATCTCTTAGATATTCCTTGGAAACTTCACAATAGTATGTGCCGAGTATTTCTGTCAACGTCTTTGGCGTCGTCCGTTTCTTGCGGGTAAATAAAAGGGCCAATACAGCCAAACTGCTCTTCTTGTATACCAGCTCGCGACCAACCAGAAATGGAATGAGACCGGCTGCCAGCACCATGTCAAGCCATTTCAGTGATCGGAAAATGCGTGACCGCCAGCTCTTCTTCATTAGGGAGTTCTCGAGGTTGGCGGCGCACTGAAGACCGCTACGCAGAGCGTGAATATTGCAACTCATTCTGCATTCAATGGCCTGAGTACCTCCCTTACTGATCTCATTGACAGGCCGCAAGTAGCGAGGAGAGACCAGGATGCCTAGCGCCGAAGGGTTACGAATATTATTCACAGGTTTTGGTGCTGGATTTGGAACTGGCCGTTTATGGCCTATCTGTACTATACTGCCTTACAGAAGTCTACCGTCTCAAAGATGGTACGAGGTACAATAGTCAGAAAGTGGCGTAGCCAGGCTGGTTCTACCAGTACCTATTGAAGTTCGGTCGCAATGGTGGACAACGCTTGTCATTGCGGACCCCACGCATTTGTGGGTACAATCACTCACGTCAAAGTTCCGGTTCAAAGTTCAAAGTTCTAGATCAAAGTTCTAGATCAAAGTTCGAAGTTCCCGACCGCCGTCACAGGACTGCTGCAAACGCCTGTCAGCAAGGCCTTTTCAAGCCGGACAAGAATGCCTTTGCGAATCCAAAACTTGTCACCGTAGGCATGGTTTCGATACTGTACAGTACTGTATCTGCAATTATTTGTCGGCCTCGATATCTTGGTTCTAGAAAGGCTCGCATTGCGTCAAAGCGCGATGCCGGCGAAATCTCACCAGTGACGTCTATCAGCTTACGTGAAAACTCGGCTGCCCAACGACCGAGGGCAAAGTCAATGCAAAGGGGCAAAATCCGGCAACAACATAGTAGCTCAGGCCAACTGCATCAATTCGTCAGATTCTGGCTTTGTGCCCCGCAAGGTGAGGCGGGTCTCAACAGTGGCTACGGCTCTGCCGCGGGGCGCCATCGAAGAGGCCACCACACTCTCCGGGGCCTGGTTTCAAATCCGTCGCGATGCTGGATTTGGCTGTGCAAGCAGCGCGTGGAGGCTGACCAGATTGGTGTGCATCGAAGTGGTGTGCTCAGCAAAGTGGTGTGCTTCTGTCCGAAGAGGGTGTCGTGGGAAGAGGGTGTCGTGGGAAGAGGGTGTCGTGGGAAGAGGGTGTTGCCAGGGTTCGAGAAGGTGGTATTGTCGAGAGGTGGTGTCGCCAGGGGACAAAAGAGGGTGTCGCCAGGAGTAGGTGTCAACAGGGGATATCGAAGTGGTGTTATCACAAAAGAGTGTCGGGAGGCGGCGAGAAGAAGGTGTCGCCAGAAGTGGCTGTCGCCGGGGGTGTCGCCAGGGAAAGGGAAAGGATAGTGTCTCCAGGGACGTGAATAGGGCGTTCTAAAAGATGGTGTCGCCAAGGGACGAAAAGTCGGTGCCATCACAAGGTGGTGTCGCCAGGAGCAGGCGGTGTCGTCAGCAGCCTGGACGCGAGTGATGCTCGAATATTGTGTCTGCAGGGAATGAGAAGGGGATGTTGTCAAGGTGTATCCAAAATAGGTGTTGCCAGGGCCTCACAGGAGGTCGTCGTCATCAAAAGTGGTTGTCGGCCGGAGACGGTAAGAGGGTGTTGGCAGATGGTCGTGTAATGTACCGTGGCGCGGCGACACCTTACCATGTGACAAGATATCCAGAACTGACTCTGGCTCTCTATGCTGACCTTGCAGGGCATGTGGTGTGAAGCTCGTAGAACGTGTGGTGTGAGGCATGCAGGCACTCTACTTTGTGGGTGGTATGGGCCTCCTTCACCGCTTAACCTGACCCTGGAACGCACACCGACGAAATATGGAATAGGCTCAATCTCCACCATGGTGCGTCGCCGCCATGATTGGTATCTGCACCATGATATCCACGCGCAACAGCTTGGCGGCAGGCCAGCTATGGTACTTGTGTTTGGCATGCCACATTGTCGCTGCGCTTTTCTCGCTCCGCCAGACAATACGACCGAGCGTTGGAAGCACGAAGCTGAGATCGAATTTGTGGTGGCTAGCGGTTGTTCCCTTTGTATCATTGCTGGCAAACATGCGCCCGAATTTACAACGAAAGCTTAGTCACCCTGTTGACCGTCGGCCACAGCACTAGGGCAACGGAGTATGCCCCGACGCTGCTGCATCGGTGTTGTGACAGCGAAAGCCAGCGGCGTCGGCGTCCACAGCACGATCCTGAACCACCCCGGCACAGACGTCCATCTCGTTCCCAAACGACTTGAGCTTGTGTACTAGGTCATCGAGTACAGGAACTGCAAGCTGCAGGACAGAAGCCAATTGGTTAGGATGCAGGTGGCAAGACGCATGGTC